TACGCCACGAGGTGGAGGCTCTTTAGCGACTGGTGCGGTTTTCGTTCCTGGGATCCCAGGCGTTGCCCGCTGGAGGGGGTCCTGGGATTCCTACAGGAGCTCTTTGACAAGGGGAGGGCTGTCGCCACCTTGGCGGTGTTCGCGGCAGCCATTACTTCGGGTCACGACGGATTCGGGGGGTTCACAGCCCGCTCTCATCCGTTGGTTAAACGTTTTTCTGCGGGGGGCACGCAGGAGGAGGCCCCCGCTCCAGAGAACGCCCCGGTTTGGGACCTCAGGGTGGTCCTTAGGGGGCTGTCGGGTCCGCCTTTTGAACCGGCGGCGGAGGCGAGTCCCGAGTGTGTCGCTTTAAGACGGCCCTCTTGTTGGCGTTGGCGTTGGCGTCTGCTAAGAGGGCGGGCGACTTGTGTGCGCTCTCTGTCCATGCGTCTTGCCTGTCCTTGGAGAGGGCGACGGCATGGTGGTATTGTGGCCCAATCCGGCTTTTCTCCCCAAGGTCATCACGTCGGCCTTTAGGTCGAGAGTCATCAGGATTAGGGCTTTCTATCCGCCACCGCATGCCTCCCCCGAGGAGGAGCGGCGGCACTTCTGTGTCCTGTCAGAATGCTGAGGCATTACCTGGCCATGACGTCGTCATTCAGGTTGGGTGGCCAGCTGTTTGTGTGTCTGGGCCCCAAGAACAGGGGCGCCCCGCTGTCGGCTCAGCGGCTGGCGCACTGGGTTGCCACGGCTGTGCGGCGGGCGTATCAGACGCAGGGTCTGGCCCTCCCGGTGGGCTTCAGGTCGCATTCCACGCGTGGGATGGCGGCCTCTACGGCCCTTCTCAGGGGGGTGTCGGTCGAGGACGTATGCCGTGCGGTTGCTTGGGCTTCGTCCTCCTCTTTCGTCCGGTCTTATCTTTTGGATGTGTCGGACCGGTCGGTGGCCCATTCCGTGCTGAGTGCAGCGGACTGAGTTAGACCGTTAGGTCCCTCCTCTGAGGGGGCCTTCGGTTTACTTTCCGCCCTGGTTCAGGAGCTCTTGGGAGAGGCATCCTACAGGTGCGGTACATATATGTGTGTTTCGGTCGGTCTGGTAGTCCACGTCAGGAGCCCTTGGAAGAGGCGTCCTGTGACTACGGATGACCTACGGTCTGTGTTACGTGGGGGTATCCTTGGTAGGAGTGGCCCTGTAACACGCATTGTTTCTTCTGCCCTGAGTCCTCTCACTTGTGAGGGTCTTGCTCGGGCGGAGCTCCAATCACCCTTCGCTGGCCTGCTGGGAGTACATTTTCCTACGGCCTCCGCGTTGTGTCCCACTAGCGAAGTCCTAAGGGACGTAGCACCATGACGTAGAATTAATAGTTACTTAATGTAACTTAAGTTCTACGAATAGGTGCGTAGTCCCTTAGCTACGAGCCCATCAGGCCAGCCCGGCTTGGCAGAGTTCAAGAGGGGGTGCGGCCTTGTGCAGGGGCATTTATAGAGGAAGGTGGCTGGTGATTGGAGCAAATTATTTTGATCTCTCTGGCGTGTGACCTGGGGGTCACGAGTGATATCCCACTAGCGAAGTCCTAAGGGACTACGCACCTATTCGTAGAACTTAAGTTACATTAAGTAACTATTAATTCTCACCCCCACTTAGAGCCCTGCACTTGAGCCCTTGGCCCGAGGGCCCAGACGACCCGACAGCCCGAGGGCCGGGCTTCGGGCCGATGACCGCATAATGACCTCGGACACGGGCCGGGCTCGGGCTCTTCATTTTCAGAGCGGCAGAATACATTTACGAACACACCCACTGAATATAGCGTTCTATCACGCTGTAGTGTTTGTTGTTCTGTGTAGTGTTGTCATTGACGGCCAGTGTTGGGCACGTTACTTTGAAAAAGTAATTAGTTATAGTTACTAGTTACTTCTCCCAAAAAGTAACTGAGTTACTAACGGAGTTACTCCACTATAAAAGTAACTAGTTACCAGTAAAAGTAACTATTGCGTTACTTTTTCGTTTTGTTCTGGAACATAATGTGCACCCGACGTGCGCATTTTTACCTTTAACAGTGCCAATATTTCCATCTAGAAAAGGCTGTTTTGCTGCTGAAGTCCTGTTCACTCTTCATCTCTGTCTGTGCTGTAAAGCCCGCCACTGTGAATGTGGAAACACCGGTGACGAGCGGTGAGGCTGGTGAAGCACTGACTTCAGTCCAATCAGATGAACATATACATCATATAAATCAAGTGGACAATTTGTTTGGCTACAGCAAAATATGTTTTATGCCCGCATTGTTTGTTCATACAAAACGCAAAACTATGAGTTATGGGTCTTACCTTATAGCTATACCTTATAAATGACCTGCACAGTCCACTTTGGTTCAGACCAGTTCCTTGTTTAAATCCAGTAAATGGTTTGAGCGTAGATACGTAATCCTCCATTTGGAAATGAGTCCAATGAGTTTTAAAAAGTAAAACAAAACGCGTGTGTCCTCCATAAACTCCTCTGTTTTGCTGCAGCCGGCTGCATCCAATTTCTAAAATCAACCGTCTAACACTTCACCTCTCTTTCTTATCATTCCTATAGTAATTGAAAAATTACCCTATGTGCATTTTAGATTATGTAAAAATGTGTTATATGTATGTTAGCCAAACCTGTTGCTGTCCTTAGCAGATAAACCAGGAAGAGCAAGGAGCTTATCGATGGAATTGTATGCAGCCGACTTCTGCGCTCACATGCGCTCCTCTGAGGCTGGCCTCACGGTGATACAAGCCGTGGTTGAGCGCGATTAAGACCCATATTTGTTTCAAAAACACAATTTATGAGCCATCCTCTCAACTGTAGACATGTAGATTGTAAAGGAAATATGATTTACATCAGCCAATAATTGCTGAGAGGTTTTCTCATCCTCCCTTCTCTCATGACAACACGTTCATTGTGCGTCTTGAGTAACGCGCAGTAACGGGATGTCTGAAATGATAACGGCGTTATAGTTACTGTCAAAGTAATTAGTTAGATTACTCGTTACTGAAAAAAGTAACGGCGTTAGTAACGCCGTTACTAGTAACGCCGTTATTCCCATCACTGTTGACGGCACATAGCATTACTTATGTAATGTGCAGATGTGTTGCAGCATCGGGGGCATCATACAGATGCGGCCGTTCACTCTGCACACACACAACTCATTGCAACACATCACTACCATGTATAACTCCGCCCTCTAGCTAAGTCTGCGTTCATATCAGTGCGCGGCACTATATACTACGCTAAAACATTGTTATGGGAGGTTACAAAAAAAAAAAAAGGCGGGCTTGATGCGGGTTTCGGGCCTGAAAATTCAGAAACCATATCGGGCCGGGCCGGGCTGGGGCGCCACCCCCTTGGGCCAGGGCCGGGCTCGGGCCCAGATAATAGGCCCGTGCAGGGCTCTACCCCCGCTCCTCGGAGCTTACGTTACTCACATTTCCTGTTCAAATCTTCCTCTAAATGGGCGTAGCCTGGAGGACTAAAGGGGGCGTGAACGAGACTGGGCCGTTTATATTGCTCTGGGCGGGGGGCTGCTGACGTCAGGTCCAACTTGCAGACGTCAGGTCCAACTTCTGTGCCAGTGTTGGCGCCAGATTCAAAATTCAAATGTAGTAATACAGGTCGCCAGCAGATGGCGCCTCACAGACGGTTTTAGGCAGAAAGTCTAACTTTCAACTAATTTGCACCAAAGTGACAAGATTATGACCAGGATATGTAGACAACACTATTGGACACTCATTTATACCGTTTATCAGCAAAAAAAAGTGGATTTGAGGGTGAGTTGTCCTCAACATAGCAAGCTAAAACAATACTTTATTTCCTTATTTGTGAGAGCCAACACAGTTAAGATGCAGAAAAGTGTTTAATTTAAAGGAAAAAAAAGCTTTTTGCTAAAAGATCAGACTATGTGTTTAAAAAGGTAAAAACCCTAAAAAGCTAAAGTTAAACGGTTAACATGCTTGAGTTTAAAGAGTGATTCTAAAATGTTATAAGTTACTGTAAATGTCACAATGATTGATTAAAAACTGTAAATGACAACTGTAAAATATTTAAGTTTAAAAACAGGTAGAGTAGCTGTAAAATCAGAGACACTCCCAGTATTTAGACTGCTTCGTCATCAGTTTGAGTTGAGTTTGGGTGTGGGATCACACAGGGTTTCTACCTGCAAACTTTGGAAAGAGACTGTAGTGTTCATTTTTATTATCATTTTGTGCAATAAATGGACTTAACCAGAGTACGTCTTCCTGGTCTTTAGTGTCAGAAGAACTTTTGCATCTGGCTCACTGTGGCTGTTTTTTAATGAGCCACTACATTATTTCTCTCACCTTCAATCAACAAATGTAGCATCATCCTCTTTTGTTATTTTTCTAGCAAAAAAAGCAGTGAAATAGGTCTGTCTATAATAGCAGGGCAAACAAGATGCTCATATAAAACACAAAAAATGACTCTAAATATAGAGCAAGTCTTCATTAATAATTGGCCTTTATAATGTAATTTCTTCAATAATTTACATGTTTCTTTTTCCATAATACATGACTGAGATCAAATTATGAAGCAGGTTTATCCTTTATAAAATAAAAAACTAAGCCTTGTGAATAAAAGTCAAATCAGTTTGTCCTCTTGTAGAGTTGTTTCTTTAAAACCAGTGAAAGAGCGACACTTAGTGGCCAGTAAGCCGTAATACAGCTGTTTTGTGGAGTTTACCATTTTATTTACGATAACCTTCTAAGTGTGTGTATTAGAGATTCCACATTCGTTGCCTGTATTCCCCAAATGTTCAGTTTATGTAATATTTATCACAAGTTAGTTTATGCAATTATTATCACACTACTGCTTATCTGGCGCTGTCAGCTGTGAGAAATTCACGTGCAGTACGGAAGATTCCATTCTGACACCGCTACTATAATGCGTGTATTTCACAGAGCTCACGATCAGAATATTATTATACGTATTTTGCTATACTATTATGCTATGTGTTCACAGATGATATGGAAAGAAACCAAACGATGACTAAAAGAGTCTACTCAGCTAGTTAATTATAAAAAAAAGAAATCGGTATTGTAAATGTGTAGTTTTGTGCTGTCTTTGAACGCCACACTAGCAGTTTCCGTGTCACGTGATTTAGTTCTGCCCTCTGGTTCTTCTTACCAAAACATAGCCGCACATGTAACCCTCCTTCTGCACTTTCTGACATGTTTAAGGCCTCAGCAGGGACTTTGAATCCTCCGTGAGTATAATATCTGTCAAAGGGATTTTTTTTATTTCCTTGTGTTATATTCAAATAGTGCTAATCTGTGTTATAAAGGATATGACAGATGTTACTGCTAGCCTGTTACGTTTAATAATAGTCTTTTGTGCTTACGTAAAACGGTATACATTTCTATTAACGTCTTCTCTTGTAAATTTATCATAATCAGTACTACTTATTATAGTTTTCCCATCAGAAAGACTCTGAAAAAGGTAAACATGACAGAAGCAAAATGTTTTGGATTCAGTATTTGTTGTGGTTTTAAAGGTAAGTACTACAGCTTGTTAATACATAAATACAAGCTTTTATATGTACTCAAGTGAACATTAGTATATACTATTGTCAAAATCTTTCATACTGGCAAAGCATAGAAGCATGGCTACGACAAGACACTCATCTAATAGAGACACATGTGAAAGTCAATTGAAAATAATGCATTTAGTTTTGGGGGATCTTTCAGATAATACATTACATTACGTCCTTATCAAGACATGGAATTATTAGTACCAAACTAAAGTGTCCACCAGACTGTATAAAAAATCTCTTTGTGCTGTTTATTGCTAGTTTGAGGAAGTGTTGCTTTATTCTTCCGTCAGCAACGGAAAGAGGGAACTTCAAATATTCATTCTCTTTTATTTCCAAGCTGCAGTATCATAATGAAAAATCAATTGGTAGCAAAACATTTAAACATGTTGATGCCACTAACACTCTATGATACTTTGATTAGAATAACAAATATAATATTATCTTGATCAATGGTGTAGGTTTGGTTCCAATCTTGGTGGGGACATTCACTACGACCTGAGTCTACACCCATTGACACGGGGTCCAGAGTTTCTCCCCCAGAATTTGTTGTGTAATCACACACTATATTTGCAATAGTGTGTTGCCTTCTATACTAAACTCAGCTGTAGACTGAATGAGAAGCAGTTAAGGATTTTTTCTAATAGTTAAAACAAAATCAATTGGATCAGAGCTTCTGAGTTTTGTGTTGCGTTCATTCTAACTTTGTCCACAAGATGGCTTAAATGTTTATAGTAAATAAGATAGTAAGTATATCCTGTATTCAGGATCAGGCTGATATGGTTTACAACCTATCTCAAATATGCTGTCCCTGGCACTTTCTTGAGAGTGACTCTCATTGGCTGCCTCCTAAATAGCAAATACACTGTTATGAAACTTTAAAAAATCCCATATTTTATCTTCATAATTCCAGCCTCACCTGAAGCCCAGCTTCGATATCTGCCTGCACTACATCTTCCCTGAATACCTGAGTTCCCTATAATAAATAAAACACATGTAGTACATTAAACAAATCAGATCTAAGCATATACAAAATAAAACCACCAACAAAACCAAATAAATACTTTCAACCTCACCTGAAGCCCTGAAGGTCCAGCCACTTCCTCATCCTCTACCAGCACTGCACATTCCCTGTTTGTCTGACTTTCCTTTATGGTATTAATAAAAACACACATTCTACATTGAATAAAATGAAACCTAGGCATGGTACACCAGTCGCTAAATATCTCATGAAACTAGAATTGGTTGATGGGTTTAAGATTTTAACTGCTTAATCCTAACCTCACCTGGAGTCCTGTCTTGTCCTTGTCTTTATCTCCTTCTTGAATTTCCATTATATCTCTCAGAATGTTTGCATCATTATAGTAGTTTTTTTATGACTTGAACTTTATTAGTTTTTACAATTAAACAGTAAACAAACAACAATCCACATATCAGATTCAGTCCTTGGCAAGTGACTTAGAGTGAATTGCGACAACATACAACAACAAAACATAAAAAATAAAGGAATGTAACACCGCATAGGTCTGATAACCTACTGTATGCAAAAATAATGTAACATCTGTATCCATGATTGTAATAAATATCGATATTAACATGAAAATAAGCAGTAAAAAATAAATAAAAATAAAATAAAAGGGTGAATATAAAAAGTAAAAATAAAATAAATACAAGTAATAATCATATTGATGCCAAACCAAGAGTTGCTGTAAAGTTTGGAAAATGCAGCAGTATGAACCTATTCAGATGCCTGATGTATTTGAGCTGGAAGACGTCATTAATTGAATGTAAATCAGATAGGGGCCCCATTTGTGGTTATAATCCTCCAATCTATTTAATAGCCTAAAAGATAGCTTCTCTAAAGAAGCTAGTTGGCCTAGGGAAGTCTGCCAGTGAATAAATGATGGAGCTGAAGGAGACTTCCACTCCATTACTAATAACCTCCTTCCCAACATGATCGCTGTTTGGGCCCATTGTGAAAGAGATGAGGGCATGGCACTCAAAACTGAGGGGTCCCCTAGAACGTACAATCTATTACAAAATGGAAAATCATTGCCAAGGATCTCCCTCAGTACCCTATGAACTGATGCCCAGAAAACCTGAACTTCTGGGCACTCCCACAGCATATGTAATAACGTGCCATTATTCCCCTGGCATTTCCAACATTTATGATTATTTGCTAAGCCCACTCTGTGCAGCCTGGTAGGAGTCCAGTATATTCTATGTAATATTTTGAATTGGACTAACCGAGTCCTCAGCTCTCTTGATATTCGCTTCCCATTTCTAAGTATCCCCTTCCATTCAGCCTCTGTAAAAGTATAATTTAAATCTTTCTCCCATGACTGCTTAAGGGGCATCAGTGACGTATCAGATTCCATTAGTAACATCTTATAAAAAGTAGAGGCTGCATGACCTTGTTTGAATGCCTTCTTTAGATCATCTAAGATGCCACAGGTTGAAGGGGCTACCGCAACAGATCCAAATGTTTTTTGTAGTAAATGTCGCACCTGCAAATATTTCCAAAACTCCTGTCTGGGCAGACTGAATTCCCGAGCCAGGATTTCAAATGACTTTAGTGTGCCATTGTCATATAGATCTCCTAATATTGTCACACCATTTAAAAACCAAGATTTCCACATAAATGGTGTTTTGTTGATACAGAGCTTTGGATTGTGCCACAGACCTCAAGTTTGATTAAGGTGTGTGTTAAATTTAAACATTTGAGATATTTTTTTCCATACTATTTGAAGGTGCGACATGACGGGATGCAGCCTATTTTGAGGAGCAAGGTTCGTGGATAGACAGTAAGATGGAGTAAATGGAGCTGAAACCTCACTCTCAAGAGCAAGCCATGGGGGTGCTCTCTCTGGAGGCATAAACCAGTGAGATAAATGCCTGAGAGAGAAAGCATAATAGTAATACAACAAGTTAGGGATTCCCAATCCGCCACTATCCACAGGTCTCTGTAATTTTTTCATATTTAACCTGGGCTTTTTATAGTTCCATATGAATTCTTTACACAACTTATCAAACTTTTTAAAATACGGTGATTGAATATGTATTGGTAGAGACTGTAGCAAATAATTAAATTTGGGAGTGCAGACCATTTTAATTATGTTTACTTTTCCCCACATTGAGAGGTAGAGCTGATTCCACCGCTCTACGTCTACCTTCATGCTTTCAAGTAGAGGGTCAAAATTTATTTTAATAAGGTTAGATAATTGTGGAGGAAACGTAATACCTAGATATTTTATACCTTTTGTGGGCCAGGAGAACATACCAGAGGAGAACAATGCTTTGGGGCAGTGACCAGTGAGTGGGAGGGTTTCAGACTTGGTCCAATTGACCTTATAGCCTGAAATATCCGAAAATGAATTGATTAAGGAGAACAAGGCAGGAAGGGAATGTTGAGGATCAGACACAAATAGAAGAATATCATCAGCATATAGCATCAGCTTATGACAGCTTTGACCAATTGTGATGCCTGGAAATTTAGCTTCTCTTCGAACGGCCACCGCCAATGGTTCAAGGGCTAATGCAAAAAGAAGGGGGGACAGGGGGTCCCCTTGTCTTGTGCCCCTTCCTAATTGAAATGATGGACCAATTATACCATTTGTGAGGACAGAAGCTGTAGGACTTATGTAAATCAGCCGTATCCAATTGATGAAATTACTACTGAAACCAAAATATTTGAGCGTTAAAAACAAGTAATGCCATTCAACCCTATCGAAAGCCTTTTCAGCATCTAATGAAATGGCTGCAATAGGATTCCGACAATCTTGAACTGCCCACATAATGTCCAGTAACCTTCTAACATTATCTGCTGAGTATCGGGAGCGTATAAAACCCACCTGATCAGGGTGAATCAGATGAGTCATAACACGGTCTAGACGATTGGCCAAAATTTTTGATAATATTTTGCTGTCATAAGAGGTCAAACTAATGGGCCGATAGTTGCGGCAATCCGAGGTGTCCTTATCTTTCTTTAGGATAAGAGTGACAATGGCTTCAGATAGCGAAGGCGGAAGCATTTGTTTTTTAAATGATTCGTTATAAGCATCTAGTAGCATTGGGGCCAATAATTCAGGAAAGGATTTATAAAATTCAGCCGTAAACCCATCGCGACCAGGGGCCTTATTAGAAGGAAGGTGTTTAATTACTGAAATTATTTCTGCTGTAGTGATTGGTGCATCTAAGCTCTCCATTTGGTCACGGGCCACTTGGGGAAGGTTTAAGCCCAACAGAAACTTAGTTGATATCTTCCTCAGAAGCCCGTGACTCTGAGCTATATAGATGAGTATAGAAATCCGTAAAAGTGGCATTACAGATTAAATTGGAACTCAAGAGAATTTCTAAAGTGTCCTCCATTAAAAGACTGGGTTTAATCTCCATCTAGGTGTTTTAGAATTGCATAAAAGCGATGAGGGAGAGATAAATTGGACTATGATTGATAAAATTATATTACAATACTGTATTAACAACTGCAGGGCATCAGAAAGATGGGAAATTAAAAAGAAAATCATATTCGCGAAAAAAGGATGCGTGCGGGGAAGAATAAAAGGTATAATCCCTACCCATTGGATTTTGTACGCCAGACATCTACTAGTGGCACAGGCATTTACATGCTCTAAGTGAATAATTTCCTCTTGTTGTGCGAGTAAGACTTTACTCCGGTC